TCCAGTGCTCATGTCCAGTTATGGCAGGGCATCTACAACTTTTGATTTAGTTTTCTTGGTGTGTGTACAGGATGTGATGTGTTCATGCGAGTGTGGGCACATTGGCACCATGGTGTGCTTGTGGCGGTCAGAGGGCCTTTGGGAGTCGGTTCTCTCTTAGCATGGGTTTGAGAAGCAAGACTCAGGTCATCAGGCCTATGCAACAAGCAATTGCATCTGCTGGCTCATCTCCCCAGCCCACACCTGCAAGTCTGAAGGAAGTCCAACCAGTCTGTGAGGTAAAGGGTGTGCATACCTCCCTTGGCCTGAATGTTAGCTGACATCCCTTGTGGGCATCTGTGGCGTGGGGACTTTGAAGGCTGGGGGTTGAGAACAACAGCCTCAGCACCATGCTGGGAAGGCAAGGAGAAAGACAGCCAGCAGACAACCGTGAGATTTAAGTTTTCTTCATGATAATGTCGCCTGCTCTATGGCACTTTCAAGAAGTGCCTGTGGCTTCAAATAGCTCAGGTGTGGTGCTTGAGGGCTGACAGAAAGGACTAAGTGGGACCAAGATGTTATTCGATGACCAGGGACTACAGACAGGACAGCTGCAGTTTGAGCTAAAAGTGTCCAGACACAGCCGGGCGGTGGTGGCGCACGCCTTTAATCCCAGCACTCGGGAGGCAGAGGCAGGCGGATCTCTGTGAGTTCGAGGCCAGGCTGGACCGACAGCCTCCAAAACAATACAGAGAAATCCTGTCTCGTAAAAACCAAAAAAAAAAGTGTCCAGTCACAACTAGCACTTAGAAAGCCTCAGAAGCTATGTGTGTTTGGGGGTGAGGGTGGGCATTGTTTTAGAGAGTGGACCTAAAACTAACCGTCTAGAGACTGGAGCAATACTTGGGTGTCCACGCGTGTACACACACAGCCACACGCTTTCTCTCTTCCCTCCATCACCCTGTGAATTCTGTACCTAAAAATGGTAGGAATGTGGAAGAAGCAGGCTGTGGAGGTAGCTCAGTTTGTAGAGTGCTTGTCTAGTGTGCTGGAGGCCCTGGGTTTGATTCCCTGCGTGCACCGGGGGATGGTGGTGCAGACCAGCCATTCCAACACCCAGGAAGTAAAGCAGGAGGATCGGGAGCCCAGGGTGACCCTCAGCTACACAGCAAATTTGAGGCAAGCCTTAGATATGCAAGGTCCTGGCCCAAAGGGAAAATGAAAACGTGGGAATAAAAAAAGGTGGCCTGATATCTTTTGCTTATGCTAAGAATTCAGGTGTGTGACAGCATCTGGCTAAAGATCTGTTCTTGTCTGGAAGGCCTACAGCCCAGAAGCCCAAGTGCGTGCTATCTGGAACTGAGGACTTTAGCCGGTAGGATAAACCTGATCACACAGCCTGCTTGCCCCTCTGGCGACTTTTACAGCCAGGTGGTTATCACCAAGTTTCCACTGGACTCAGTGGAGGAATTTGAACTTCGGAGTCCTGCAAGGAGGAGCAGATTCAGCTCTGGACTGCTGGAAACGTAAACTAAGGCTTATCCAGAGCTTATCGGAGCAGACAAGACCTTAGGAATCGGGGAGACTCGAACTGGAAGTGGTCCCTGAGGAGGCCCTTATGAGAAGATTGAAATAAAGCAAAAGAAACATGTCATTGGTCAGTGTCACATTTGCTCAATTCAGTCTGTTGGCCACCTCTGATCGGTGGAAAGGAGTTCTGCTTTTCTTTAATATAGGCATTTAAATGTATTGCTTTGTATGTGTGTGTGCTTACAGTGTGTAGGGAAGAGGGGTGAATATGGAGGGTGCTCACTACATGTAGGAAGGAGGGGTGAATATGCCATGGAGCTTATATTGACATCAAAAGACAACCCTTTGCGGAGGAGTTCTCTCCTTCCACCCTTCCCACACATGTTTTCAGCTACCAGAACAGGTCTTCAGGCTGCGCCTTTATCGGCTGCGCCATCTCCCTAGCCCTGGTATAGGCATTTATAAGAAACATTCAGGGGGCTAAGATTGTAGTGAGTATGCTTAGATGTGAACAGCCCCAAACTTGGACCTTAACACAAAACAAACATGCTGAAGTTAATTTTTGTTTAAGTTTGTGCAAATTTAGGTCACTTCCAGACTTAGGTCACTCCCAAAACCTAAGCAGTGTTATCTGCTCAGGGATTCTTCAGACCTTGTCTCAACATATTTCATTGACTTTAACAGTTTCCACTTTTGATCATCCTGTCAGCACACTGATAATGTAATTAAATAATACAGCATTTCTCACAGTCACCACATCTGGCACACTCCCAGGAAAGAAGTCATATAGATTTTATCACCCCTGGTGTTTGAGTTACATCCACAGGTGCACTGGAACGTAAGGTTGCATAGCCATCATTATCTAAAATACCGTAGCTGTTATAGGCTTGGCTGATAGTGGCATGGAGTTCTCCCAAGTCTAATTCATACAGCAAGCAGGGTTTCTCTGTGCAATATTCCTGGCTGGCCTGGAACTCATTTTGTAGATCAGGCAGGCCTCGGACTCCCTGTTATTTGCCTGCGTCTTCCTCCCTAGAGCTGGGATTAAAGGTGTGCACCAACGCTGACCTACCAGGAACAGAAAACACATGATGTGCACACATATTTAAAATCTTTGAAGTACATAACTTAGTAGGGAGGTAATACACGGACCATAAAGAAAGTAATGACCCCAAAGTGACAAAGTCCCCGAATCCTAAGAGCTACATCTCAGAAATGTACCATGGAGTCATGTGTGCATTAAAATATCCTGGTAGCCATATTTAAGAAGGAAAAGGATCCAGGTGTGGTGGCAAACCGCTATAATGCCAGCATTCAGAGGCAGAGACAAAGGATGGCCACAAGTTTCAGATCAGCCAGCAAGTATGAGACAGGAGCGGTAGCTCAGCAGTTAAAAATAATTGTTGAAGCCGGGCGTTGGTGGCGCATGCCTTTAATCCCAGCACTCGGGAGGCAGAGGCAGGTGGATCTCTGTGAGTTCGAGGCCAGCCTGGTCTACAGAGTGAGTTCCAGGACAGCCTCCAAAACAATACAGAGAAGCCCTGTCTCGAAAAACCAAAAAAAAAAAAAAAAAAAATTGTTGATTTTCCAAAGGACCTGAATTTTGTTTCCAGAACCCACACCCAGCTTCAGGGGACCCAACATTCTCTGAATAAATTGAATTAATTTCAGTTAAAGTGCTGTACTTAAGCCGGTTGGTGGTGGTGCACGTCTCTAATCCCAGCACTTGGGAGGCAGAGGCAGGTGGATCTCTGTAAACTTGAGGTCAGCCTTGTCTACAGAGCGAGTTCCAGGACAAGATCCAAAGCCACAGAGAAACCCTGTTTGTTTTATATATTAACCTAAATTACTATAATTTCAACATGTACACAGTATAAAATCTGTTAGTAAGACTTTTATATCCCTGTTTTCAATCATCTTCAAAATCCAGGATGTATTTTACACTTCAGTTCAGGTGCACCTTACAATTTCTTACCCATAAAATGGATATTTTTCAACTTGTTGTCCTCTCTTCAGTCTCGTTTTAAAAATTAATTCCGATATTGTAGGGACGTTAATGGCGTATTTGCCTTGTACACCAACAAAGCGGGCACCTCAGCATAAGCAGGCAGGCACTGGAATCCCTTTAGCTCCTATGTAATTAATGTGGTCTAAATGAGAAGGCATGGCTTTACCTCACATCAGCTCTGAAGATGCTGTGCTCACACGCCCCGCCTTAGCCAGAACCAGGGGAGGACAGTTTATTCTGCTAACATATATATAGCACACCATTGACATTATGCTAAAGCTAATGAGTGAATATAGAGCCTGGAAGCTTGTCAGTCTGCTCTCCCACAATAGACAGGGAACTCATTCTGAGGGAATTTAAGCAAAGGAGCCCTAGAAAGAACAGGAGGGCAGGGAGGTTCAGGAATTATAACGATGCCTACACTTGAGGTAGAGTTGAGTATCAGTCATGCACTGTGTAAACAACCCCAAGCTTAGTGCCATAAAACACATTACCATTTCACTGGTCTACTCCAGTTATCGATTTGGGATGAACTTTGTTGGCAGGAAGGGATGACTGGCCAGCCTAGGTTACACGAGACTGTCTCAAAAACTGCATGTAGACAGGACATGTAGACTGTGCTTGCCTATTTCCTTGGAGCATTTACATTAGCTTAGACATTATATGCAATACACAGATGAGAAGATTCGAAGTACAATGCAAATACCGTCCTATTTTATAGAAAAGAATGGAACACCTTGGATTTTGCTGTGGTGGGGAAGTTGTCCTAGAATCAATCTTCCCTGAGGATCTGGTCCTAGAGCCAGATACTCCTCAGACCAAGTGTTACTGTCCAGCTTCTAATGGCAAATGGCCGCTGGTACAGTCCGACTACTAGTGGCAAATGGCAGCTAAGTTCCAAGCCTAGGCCTCCAATTGACCCAAGTTTGGCACCACTGTGCAGTGATACTTGGCCCCCAGCAGTTGCTTCAGCTGGCCTGGAGGTGGGCAATGTAAAAGTCTGTGTGCATGCATTTTGGCTGGCAAGGGGCACTAAAAGACGGCAATGGCATTCTGGGAAATACAAGTGACCCCTCCCTTCTCCCTCCTCTAGTTGCAAAGGCTGATGGGGAAGCCACAGGGGAGTGAAGTGGTCCCTCCCATTTCCACCCCTTTCAGCACTGGTAGAAACTGCAGGCTGCTCAGTCTACAGTCAGATCCATTGCTGTAAGCATGAAATGCTCGCACGAGCTTCAAAACTGTCAGCTGTGTGACTCAGATTCCCCGAGTTAGACTCTTTGCATCCAAACCTGGTGGCACTCATAACCATAAAATCTGATTGACTTAGGGTAGCTTTCACTAGCTAATCCCCATGAATGAAGATGGTCCATGAGAGGCCCTGGAGACTCCACAAAAGGTAACTTCCCTTGGTGCATGAGGGTTGGGTAAGGAAAGACGCCCCCTGCTTTTGGCATCCTATAATTGGAAGTAACACACATTTTCATGGGGGGACGATTCTTTTATTTCTCCCTTCCCTCAACCAGTAAAAAAATACAATTAACAGGGATCCCATTTTTAAAAAGAAAAATAAAAAGAGTACAAAGCCACCTCCTGGGGTGTAACTTACATATTTACAGGGGGAGGGGGTGGCGTGGCCTCAGAGGTGTGTTTAAAGGCAGTATTACAAAATACACAAAGGTGCTTTCTGTTCTTCACAATACATAAAAGAACCCTGCCTCATTTCCAAATGAGACACTATAAAATAAATCACTATTTACTACATAACTTATGAAGAGTTCTGTACAGATGCGTGGCTATAAATACGTCACATAAATGGCTGTTTGGGAAGGGGTCAATTTGGCATGTCAGCCTGTTCAGACGGTGAAGAGAGTGTTGGGAGAGGATGTGTAGGACAGTCTTGTGGTACAGCCACACAGCCTCCCCTGAATCAAGCTGGAGGGGGCGGGGGTTGAGAAGCTATGATGGGAACAAGGGGGGGGGGCTCTAAAAGGCACAGCAAAGGTTGTCCGGTGAATAGGAGCTCACCTGAGCTTCATCAGGATTTGAGGGTATCTAGCCACTCCCCATCTCCTCTCTCCTCAGAATTCCCCTGGAGATTTGTAGGCCTGGAAGGAAGGCAGGCAGGACAAAGCTTATCTACGGAGGACATGAGTGGGGGTGGGGTGGGGGTGGATGGATGAAACAGACAGCTGGCCCAGAAAGTCTCCTTCACAGAAGAAATGGGATAAGGGGACCTTCAACAGGCAGATGGGTTCCGGATGGCAGCCGTGGAGAGAGGACTTGGGTCACAGGCCTTTGAAAGACCCAGAAAGAATATCGCTATCCAACCAAGGGACTGCCATTATTCTGTAGCCACGATTAAGTCCAGTGAAGAACTGTAGGCATGCAAGGCAATGTCATGGACCCCTAGCCAGGTGTGACCCTCCCATCCCAGAAAGCTGAAGATGAGAGCTGTGGTCAACTGCTTGGATTGGCCATACCCATCCGGCTGAAGCTCTGATGGAGAAAGGCTTGTCCTGTGATGTAAACTAGGAAGCCCCACACCTATGGGCTCCAAACAATTGCTTCATTTTGTCTGAACTGGCTGATCTGGGGCAGGGATGCCTAGGGAAAGCTAGCGGGCATGGGGAGTAGACTTTGATTAAAAATAAAAAAGAAAAATGTGGTTGAAACTTTATACCAAGACCAGCTTTGTACATCTATTTACAAATACTCTTTACAGAGGCCCTCCACGCAACCTTCCCTGACGCCTCCTTTAACACTTGTCCTTCGGGTGAGGATGGCTCATTGAAAACATATTCTGGGCCAGGAGTGGATGTTGTCATCTGTGGGGCCACATTCAGTCTCAATCTCTGTCCTCTGTCTTAGGAGAGAGAGGGAGGCACTTGGGAAGCACGGGACAAGTTAAGGCTGAGACACCCACATAGGATATCAGCTCTGCTCCTCCCCAGGAGCTCTGGTGAGGTGGCAAGAGACATGGGAGAGGTGGATCCTCTCTCTCCCCTCCTCCGACTCCGAGGTCCCCCTAGAACACCGTGGTGTCAGACATGGCCTTCATGCCTATGGCCTCCACTGGGCTCTTGCCCTCATCTTGGCACTCGTTGCTCATCACTTCATTGTCAAAGGCCCCAGAAGCCTTGACTGGGACGTCCTGCTCCTCTTGCCCCTCCTCAAGGTCCCTGCAGCACTTGCTGCAGCGGCAGCACTTGCAGCCGCACACCATGCAGCACACTCGGCAGCAGACGCGGCAGCAGCAGCAGCAACGTCCCTGGAAGCAGGTGGTGGCCAGGGAGATGACGTTGTCCCACGGTTTCAGAGAGTGCATGCACAAGGGCAGGAAATTCCAGTCCCGGAGCTTCAGAGGCAGGATGCGAGGGCAGCGGGACTGCAGCATCCGGATGCACACGATGAGGAGCACCAGCAGGATGATGGGCACACCCACTCCCACCAGCACCGGCCAGCCCGCCAGAGACAGGCCAAACACCGTCAGCGGGGTCATCACGAAGAAGAAGATGAGGTAGAAGACGGCGAACCAGCGATACTTAGCAGAGATGTTGCCCAGGCCTTTGGCCAGGCGGATGGGCAGTCGGGTGAATGGGATTGGGTACCACAGCAAGATTCCGGAGATGTTGAAGAAAAAATGGCACAGGGCAATCTGAAATGGAGGATGTTGAAGAGGTTAGGGGATGGGGAGAAAGAGAGGTCAGCCGATGTCTTTCTAGTGTGTGTATCTGAGCCTGTGCGGACCTTTGTATTCTGAGAACACCCATCAGTTTACAGTCTGGAGATAACAGAAGGAAGGGAAGCAGGCGACTCCTTTGAATAGCTCAGCTTTCAGGTTAGAAGGTGTCGCCTAATGTCTTGGGCCTAGTGTCCCAGTATAGTAGATGTTCTAAACATCTGCCTCTTAGAAACTCATAGCTTTGACTGTCCTCATGCCTGGCTCCCTCTGTGGCTTTTTCCAGCATCTTTGTTTTGCCTTTTGGATATAACACAGAAGGCATGGTTCTCATGAGAAAATACAGGGTAGAGTGATGTGTGCCCTTTAATCTCAGCACACAGGAGGTTGCAGGAATTGTTTGGGGCCAACATGGACTCCATGAGATGCTGACTCAACGCTCAAAAATAAAATAAAATAAAACAAACCACTGATTTGCAAAACCACAGATGAATTGCATCCCACCCAGTGCCCAGGAGCAGTACAGACCTGGAGAGAACTCCTCAAGGTGCTTCCTGGGCTGGCTAAGGCTGCCAGGATGGCAGTGGTGGTGGTGCCAATGTTGGAGCCCAGCGTGAGTGGATATGCTCTCTCAATGGAGATCACGCCAATACCTGGTGAGACAGCACAGAACACAGGGTATGAGCCCAAGTAGCCATGGCAATAGGCAAGGGTGACCCAAGGGAGAAACCAGGCACAAAAACTCACCAATGAGTGGTGTCATGGCAGAAGTGAACACGGAGCTGCTTTGCACGATGAACGTCATGCCTGCACCCACAAGGATTGCTAAGTAGCCAGTCAACCAGGCAAAGGGAAAAGGGAAATCTGGAAGACACAAAGAAAGAAGATATGTCACAAGTCCTGGGGATGGCATAGTTGGTGAACCCAGCTGGCACTTTCAGGACCCAGAAGCAGAGCCCAAGGCAAAGGATTGAACTTCACACAAGATCTGAGATTGCCAGGTTCCTTCCCTAGTCTAGGTCATCCTGCAAGTACATATGGAAGAAGCCGGGGATAAGACAAACACAGACTGGCAGAGATAGAGTCAGGAATACCCTGCCCCCTTCCCTAGCCTGGTCTGACATCATTTCACACTCAGAGATGAGCTATGAACACTGCATGGAATTGAATCCCTGGCTCTGGTAAGTACCTAAGTACAGGGCCCCCTCTCGTGCCAACCCTGGGATGCAGACATTCATGGCCACATTGAGATGTGAGGAATGACATTTTCATGCTCATTGGGTAGGGTACTTTACCAGGTGGGAGCTCCTGTTGAACAGAGAGAGTCTCATTGTCAAAATAGTTCTCCAGAGACACAGGGAAAGTGGGTTAGGCTGGATACCAACTGCCCTTTTCCTAGGAGCTACTAAGAGCAGACCTGTGGTAGTCTGGGGCATATAGAAGTCCTGACCAGGAGGAGGCCTAACCTTCTGGCTCTAACCTTGCCCATCCTGAAATGGGAGGCTATACCTGTTCCCCTTCCTATACTACAGATCACTGAAGTACAGTGGGACCGAGAATGATCTCCATATAGAGGCGAGATGAAGGGGCAAAGAGCCCCACTCAGCTGTCCACACAACACCATCCCCCAAGAGCCAGAACAGGGTGGAGTGTTGGACCTACCAGTATTAAGGGTCTTCTTGATGACAGTAGCGACCTGTCCCTTCAGTACAGAACCCAAGAGCTTGACTATGGCAATCAGACAGCCACAGAGGACCAACAGGGAAACAATAAGCAGGATGATGCCCACAGCAAGATCTGGGAGATTTAAATTCACGAAGATGTGCTGGCCTGAAGAAACACAAAAAGCCTTGTTAGAACAGCAGGGCCACCCTGCCCAGAGATTGACATCAGTTCCTTCTTTCTCATGAGAATTATCTTGAGTGGCAACTAGATACCTGAGAGCTCAAGCTAACGATGTCCTTCTTTAAAAGATTCAGTGTGTGTGTGTGTGTGTGTGTGTGTGTGTGTGTGTGTGTGTGTGTGTGTGTGCGCGCGCGCCTGTGTGGCCCAGATGTCCAACTCAATTTTTGTGCAAAGTGTTTGGATTCATTACTAAAGTCTTTCCAATATGTCCTTGTGACAAATCCAGGGAACCAGTCCTACTGACAGGTAACAACTAGAACATTAGGGTAACAAATTTGCCTGACTCTGTGCAAAGGAACCACACAGTATCAAGATACTCAATGCTCGGCATTTATGGTGGTGGGATTCGGGAGAACCAGGATTGGGGTAGTTTAAAAGGAAGAAAGGCTTCCTAAAATGTGGAAGTGTCAGGTGAGCTCTGTGGTTTGTTCAGATAGGACTTGAGTGACTAATCCCCATATAATCAAAGCAGTCATCAATTACCCCTGACTTATTGACAAAGGAATACTAAGGCACACCCAGGCAACACTACAGAATCACACTACAAGTCCTCTGGGTGGTATCGTCCCCAGAAAGCCTGGACTAGTCTTTCCATCTCTCCTGTAATCACTGGGCTCCACAAGAGAAGATGTGCCGGCCAATTCCCACTCACATTTAGCAATGTTCTCCTTGTGGGTGACATTCTGGATGGTCCAAGTTTGCACGCCATCGGTCCAGCAATATGAAGGAGAGGTGCAGTTATCAGGTGAGGGAACGGTGACATTCATCTGAGTCTAAATGACAAACATGACAGATGTCCGTGGTGGGAAACAACAAAGGGGGATATTATCCTTGGGTCTATGCAATGGTTTCATTATAGGGTGCCTTCTACCCCGGTAGGGTTAGTGGGAAAACTCTTGGAAACACTGGGATAAAATAAGTTTCATTATTTTATTTTATCACACACACACACACACACACACACACACACACACACACACACTACACCCTGGAATTAAGGGAAAGCCACACCAACACTGCACAGCAGGTTGGGTGAGTTTCCTATTTAAGAGCCACAGTATGTGTGCCTCCTCAGGAAGCTGGAAAGTTGAGATGTCCCTGCTGCCTGCATTTGTGCTGTGGGACACAGACTTCAGTCTCCAGGACAAGAGCAGAGAGGCGGCAGAAATAAGTCAGCCTTCTGTGAGAGACACGACATTATCCCTAACAGTAAAGCAAAGGTGGCTGTATCCCAAAAGGAAGTGACAAGATTTGACTCCCGGGAGCCTTTTCTTTCCCCCACTGACTTTTTGATTTGCTGCTTTCGGGGCCCTTCAGGTGACACACCACTGACCCGCCACCCACCACCTGCCCAGCAACATTGCTGACACTTACCACGTTGGTTACGGTTTTGCACCAGATCTTCACCAGGCTCTGATTGTGGGCTCCTGGGTCATTCATTGCAATTTGCTGGATGACCTTTTTATCCAGCTGAAGGGATCAATAGGGGAGAAGGATCAGCACATCCTGAAAGTGATACTTGACAGATACAGTGACTGTCAGGGGGCCTGAGTGTGTTTGGGGTTGTGACTGAGCCAGTACACTCACTGTATGCAAAGACCTCTAGGCCCACCACCCATGCCTAACCTCCCACAGAGATCATTACCCCTAGAGGGTGACTGTATGGCTAGAGCATTGATAGCCAGCAGACTGTAGACATCTGCTGCCTAAGTTCAAGTCCCAGCTGGCCCTTTCTCCATCAATATCTAGGACAGACACCTAGGACCAGAGGGTATGACTGACCTCAGGTGGGAAGGACAGTAACCATAATAAGCTGGGTTGACAATAATTTTTTTAAAAAGTGGCCACAAAATGCTCACTCAGAAGTGCTCATCATCCCAAACCATCATCAGAGGGCAAGCCAGGCTGATGATGTCAAGGGCATAAAGTTGCCGCTGCCAAGTATGCCTATGACTTTTGTTCTAGTCCCTGCCTCTGGAGAGATGAGGGCTGTACTAATCTAGCCATTACCTGGATGATCAGCTTTGTGAAGGGGTCTGTGATGACTTTCAGAATGTCTGGGGCATCTTCTCCACGTTTGAACTGGAAGGTGTCCACCACAAGGTTGGTCAGGATCTCCAGGTAGTGGGTGGCAGCCTCCAGGGGTAAGAGTATCAACACGGAGAGCCAGTTGAAGAAGTCGTGGACAGTGGCCCCTGCAAATGCCCTGAGGGAAGGAAAGAAGCCACTCAAATCGTAAGTGAAGGGATCCAGACAGTTGGGCATAGCATTTGTCATCCACCTGAGGACACACAGGTGGTTGGTCTTGTAGGACATTGTCTGCCAGTATAGTATTTGAGGGCTAGAATCCTAACAACCATTGTTTAGCAGAATTTCATTAAGACTATCCCCAAACCCTCCTTTCCCAAAAATTTAAGGCTGGAGAATGACTTAACACTGGCTATTCTCCCAGACGACCTGGGTTCAGGTCCCAAAACCCACAGCTCCAATGTCAGTAGGCATACATGTGGTGCATTCATACATATAGGCAAAATACACTAATGGTTTTTTAATCTAAAATTATTATGAATGTTTCATCTGAATGCTTGCTGCACACACACCTCCCCTCCCCCACCCAGAACGGGAGTTATATATAGTTGACCATATGGTGACTAGAATCAGACATAGGTCCTCTGCAAGAGCAGTAAGCATTTTTAACCACTGAGCCACCTCTTTAACTGTGCCTAGACCACTTGGAACTGCTTGGAAGGGAACCTGGCCTTTGAAAAGTGGAGAGCCGTGGGGCGGACGATCAGAATCTTCTTACTAGCTTGCACATGTGTGCCTCAGAGTATGTGCACTACACTGGTACAGGAGCCCATCAGAAGCCTATGAACTTGAACTATGGGCAGTTGTGAGCCACCATATGGGGAACTGAGCCCAGATCCTCTAAAGAACAGGAAGTACTTGAGCCATCTAAGCAACCCCCAAATTCTAAACCTTTAAAAATTCAAAATTATGAGACACACAACTTCCAAATTAAGAAACTAGCCCAAGCCAGGCAAAGAACAAACAATGCTGTAGGCTTTTTCCTTAATGAAAATTGAAAAGTCTCCTTCTAGAAACATCTCCATCCCAGAAAATACCTACCACTAGATGTATTTGGTATATGACACTCTTCTTGGTATATGCCACTCTCCTTCAAGAGAGAAGCACTTGATAATTTCACAAGTAAAAGAAATGTACTTCAAATTCCAATGTTTGCTCTATGGTATTAGCTACTCTCAATTCATCCTGGAGAAGGCAATTTAAGAGCTTTCATATACTGCAGATGAACTAGAAAATGATTCAAATATTTCCCAGTGCTTGGCAAAATGTACAAGAGCCCTATAAACACTTAATACAGTAATTATTGTAGATATCTAATGCATTAATCCAAACCTCAGAGTAGGATGTCTCTCTCTCTCTCTCTCTCTCTCTCTCTCTCTCTCTCTCTCTCTCACACACACACACACACACACACACACACACACACACAACCAATTCCACATACTGAAACAGTATACTGAAATAGTACAGGGAAGGGGGGATTGGATGAGTCAGTTTTTTATCCAAGCATATGGGTATCACAATAGGCCTTAAGCGTCTATTCCATAGGCTACTAGGCAGCAATCAGTTTAAGCATTCATGCAATGAGCCCAAATTGTCCAGAATTGAAACCTAACTGGAATCCTGGCTGTGCCAGGGAATGACATCACTTTGTCTCCTTTGACTTCAAGATGAATACAATGGCAAATAAAAAAGGCTTTCTGGCTTGCTGAGAAGATCAAATTAAAGAGTGCCTGCCTTAATGTGTATTATCATGTCCATCAAGACATGTCATCAAGAACCAAATGAGATGGCTCAGGTAGATGGACCACTGTGATAGTCGATCACCAACCAGCAGACACGACAAACATGACCTGTCTCCCAACAACCTGCTATAATGTCAGCTGCTTGACCACACCACGATGGCATCATAGACAAGTTGGGATTGCTTCTATATTTTAATAAGCTCTGGTAAGAGTCTATCACTGGGTAGAAACGCTGGCAAGCATGCTTAATTCCCATGTTAACATTTTGAGAGTTTCCCATTGCCCATTTCCAACTGCCTTATTTTCGTATCTTACACGTCTTTGCCGGCTTACAGGTGAAGGGGTAGTTAGTTGAGCTAGCCAAAAATGGAAGTTTTAGAAAGTTATAATTATCTATGACTAAGAGACAGTAAAGCCCGCCCCAACTGGCCTTGTTTAATGCTACCACCCAGCTGGTGCACACCTTTCCTGTCCTGTCCTGGTGCCAAGTGCTTGCTTGCATGACTGTTTAATCATTACAATAACTTAGTGGTGCTGGATATTATTATTCTGGCTCTACAGATCAGTAAGTAGATTTTAATCAACTAGGATTCCCAATCCTAGTCACTCTTGGGGCTCCATACAGACAAACTGCCAGGCACACCTTCACAGACTAGATAAAGGCAAACAACAGACCTGGTGGGCACAAAGCCTGCCCTAAGACTCCTACCTTCTGAACTCATTCCGGTCTCCTGCCTGCATAAGTGCCACAATAGTATTGGTGATGGAGGTTCCGATGTTGGCCCCCATGATGATGGGGATGGCAGCCCGCACGGTCAGCACTGAAGGTTAGAAAAGAACTGTGAGGCAGGGGAGTCATGTTCTACATATCCCAATGTGGGCTGAATGTACTGCAGCTAATTTCTATGGGGGCGGTCCATACATAACAGTACACAGCTATTCAAATCTAGAGCGAGAGTCAATGAACCTGCCTGACTCCATTCTTGACCCCCTGAAGCCCTATGGACCTTGCTTTAGGAATCAGTCGGTGATTAAGGGAACGGATGAGTTCCAGAGCTGATGTGGCCCAACCGCTCATGAGACATTGTGTTGTATAGCTAGGCTGGCCACAAATTCAACAATGCAGAAAAATTCTCAGTAATTAATTTTGGCTAAAATGCTGGCATCAGGTAAAAAAAAGATGGGAAAGTGATTGTGACATGACCTAGACAGAATTAGAGCAAACCCAACTCACGCGAGGAAGCGACCATGCTGACGACGATGGAAGAAGACGTGCTGGAGCTTTGCACCATGACGGTCACCAGCACCCCAATCACTAGCCCAGCCACAGGGTTAGACATGATGGAGTTGTTGCTGAAGAACTGGCCAGCCACTTTTCCTGAAAGACAAAGGGCGGTTGTGTGAGCACGGCCCTAATGTCCACACGAGGTCAGCTGTCTGTCAGTTGGCTTCCGCTCAGCTGGGTCATACTTCCTGTTCTTTTGCCTTGCACTGCTCGGAGGGAATCTCTGTCTGGCAATGTGAGCCTCCAGCTCCACGTCTTTGACCTGGGTTACCTCAGCCATGGGTCTTATCTCTTCACCCTATAGCTTCCCACCTTGAAGCCCAGCCCCCCTCCCAAATCAGTGAGCCTTTTCCAGTCTTCTCTGATCACCAGCCAGACTTAGCATAAATGGTAATTCCTCTAGTCCTTACTCTCTAGCACCAACTCCTGCAGACTGGCTCATCACTGTTCTAGAGGTTTCTGTGGGAGTGTACCTATGTGAACCTCAGTCTTTCTCCAACCCATTTTATAATGGGTTCCCAAGGGCCACATTCAACCATCCCAGTGCCCTAACAATCGGCCTGCCACCCACCCCTGTGAGGCAGCCTTCAGGTCAAAAAGATCAGCCCTGCAAGACATGGGGGCTCACGCCTTTAATCCCAGGACTTGGGAAGGAGAGATGGAGGATGTCTGTGAGTACCAATCCAGCCAGAAATAGTGAGACCCTACCCTAAAACAGTCTTGGAAAGGGTGTGGTGGAGCACGCCTTTAATTTTAGCAGAGGTGAGTGAATCTAAGATATAGGGCAATTTGGTCTAAATAGGGAGCTCCAGAACAGCCAAATAGAGAGTCTTTAAAAAAAAGAAAGAAAAAAATTTAAGAATTAAGAAAAACAAACTTATAAATTTTCTATTTATTTAGCTCAAGGCAGCAAGAGAAGCAGAATCCACAGGCTTTTGTGTCACCCTGGTCTGTGCTCTGGAACCCCACTGTGTTCCTTACAGGCTGTGTTTAAAGACTGGTTAGTCAGTGACCTCTGAGCCTTGGTCCTCTTGGGAGGGAACTTTGGGAAGGACTACTCCAGACAGGGCTGCTCACGGTGCTATCTGTTGTCACCCATGAAGGGTCCAAAGTTAACTGAGCACATATGGTCATTTCACGTCTGGGTTTCTGGAACACGGGCTACTTTGTCCAGGGCTCAGTCCAGGGAAGGCATCTACTGTGGGTTCTTCCAGCAAGGGTGGCCTTTGATCTTTCTTACTTGCTTTGGCCTGAGAGATTTTTTTTTCTCCCATTCTCTCGAGACAGAAGCCTAGAGACAGCAGGGATTCCCAGATAAAAGGAGTCAAGCAATTTCCTGCTGGGGTTTAGGTACAATAGAAGGGACTCTGATAGCTACAATGGACTCCAGACCTGGCTCCTGGCTTAAGCTGCCTGAGCCACTTAGAAGCTTCAGTCCTCTTCTGAGCAATGGGGGAAGTCTGAGCTGCTCTGTCAGGCCTGCCCTCATCCACTCCCAACCATGTTGAAGCATGAGGCGGCCTGTGAGCTAAGAAATTCAGGAGTCAAAAAAAGCCTACCTAGGGCCCTGAGGCCTGTGGGGGAGGGGGTCCTTACCTCCAACCAGTTGGAAGGCGCTGCTGAGTACATCCAGGGAGCATATGAACAAGTAGAGGAAGCCCAGGAGAAGAAGGAATTTCCCAATCCCCTGGAAAATGCAGAGAATCTTCCCTTTGGTGTCTCTCTCTGTGGAGGGAAGCGGGGAAGGAGGGCACAGCAGTTAGCATCTTTCCAGCTAGGTCAGAGATGGTTGCTACGGGAGCTCATGGCTCTGCCTTCCACCACCACTGGCTCCTGACTCAAGGCCTGGAGGTGGGACAGCCTCCACTGCCACAGGTTCCTGGCAGTCCTCTTTGGGATGCATTTCCCTGGACCCTCCTGAGGTTTCCTGGAAGAGCTCACTGTGGTCTGGGCCCAGAGAAGCAGCCGACCAGAATGGATGTTCAAGTGAGCCACCACAATGTCAGGGAGAAAGCACATGCCACCAATGCAGAGTCATAGACAATGGCTCCACAAGGCACCTTCAGAACACAGGTGCTGGTGCGGTAGTGGCACGTGTCAGCACTGGAGAGGCAGTGGCAGGCAGATCTCTGTGAGTTCAAGGACGGCCTGGTCTACAGAGCAAGTTCCAGAACGGCACGGGTACCAAAGCTGCAGTTTATTGAGGGCCGGGGCCTTAGACATCCCGCTAAGCTACAAGTGTCTTCTCACCTCTCCTATCCAACTCCCTTCCCCTCCTACCGCCCAAGCCTACCCTAGCTGACTGGTCCACAGGCTGATTGTAACCCCACACCTAGAACAAACAGAAATAAGCATTTGATCACCCCAGCTTTGCTGGCTGTATTTTCAGAACTTCTTATAAAGCCTACAACCGAATCGTCATACACCGAATCTGTCTGTTAGGGCCTTGATCCCTGGAACAAAGACTCCCCTAGTTATTATTCTTTAGCACCCTAGTCCATGTGACATAAAGACAAACACTGTGGACTGGCTGGGTCCTTCTTGCTGGTCTCTGCTGGATGCTGGACATCCACTTACCTGACCATTTGATGCCGGTGTCCCGGAGTTCAGGCAGGTCCCAGGGGTCATTCCCCTCAGCGGGTTCCTCTATCAGGACCACGGTGGAACAGGCAGGTACAAGTTCAATCTTGGTTACAGGAGCCCCACTGTCATCTGTGCAAACAAGTAGCAAAGGCCATGAGGAATGAGAGCTGGATCTCTGTGGGTCCTTAAAGGGGGCCTGTCCCAATTGGCCAGGAGTACTTACTTTTGCTGGTCTCCTTGTTCTTGGCTGCTGCGTTAGACTGTGGACCAGAGTCCCCTTCAATGAATTTATTGGGGTTGGGATGGGCATTTTCCAACTCGGGCCAAGGAGCCATGATCTGCAAAACAGAAGAAAGACAGTGCTTGAGGATGCAGCCTCTGATGTAACAGTTGCCTGAGAGAAAGCCACTCCTTGCATTTCTTAGGAATCAGAGACAGGAAAAGAGGTGTTTACACCAGTGGACTCTAGTTACGCTGAGGAAAGTTCAACTGTAAATCAGCACCATACCTCCTTACTCAGTGGTCTTGACATTCACATATGTTAATGCAAGTGTATAATGCATATACCCCTAGACAGCCCACCTGTTTTTCCTACTATCTGGGTCTTCTGTGAAAGTGTGACAGTGCCACTTAAGAGTGGATGTGCCTCAGGGCCAAATCCCTCTCTTTCTGCCTTCAAGAATGCAGTACCAGTTTCCCCTGTAAAATGGGGACAATTCTTCATACCTCTTGAGATAATGAGGCTAAATGATTGATAGATTGCAACTATCACTGGGTCACCCTACCATGATCAATGGCCCTTTATCAGAGCTGCATTGTTTCCAGCCCCTGAGAGGACTTCCTCATAACCCATTTTCTCCACAATACCCTTCTCAGTTACATGCCAGCTCACCTGGCTGGCCACACTTTGCAGCCTATCCAGACACCACAAAGCACAACAATCCAAAGAACAGAAAATTCACAGAAAAGGAAGTACAAACAGCTAAGAGTTTAGCCTCATCAGCAATTCAAGATATGCAAATCCAATGGCATGGGCAGAGTGTAATCTACTATTGTGCTGTGGTAGTTAGGCATGCTGTCTCACACCTCAGCAGCCTGAGGCATGCAGGTTCTTTCTCCATGGGTTCAAGGCCAGTCTGAGTCATGTAGTGGGGCTCTAGGGCAGCCTGGACTAGAGAAGGAGCATATCTCAAAGATGTACCATACTGGGATACAGCTGGGAAGCTCTCAAAAATGGTGGCACCATGGCTAACGTACCCTCATCTTTGCCCTATTCATTTCCCTTATGGAAATTGGAAGGAAAGAAACATTAGCTCTCAGAAACACCTGCCTTATCCTCATCAATTACCCAGAGAGGATTCCCAGAACCAGGGTCCAACTGGCCTGTTTCCTGCTTACCAAAGGACAAGCACTACCAAGAAAGGGGCATCCTTAGCTCTGCCTGGCCAGCGATAAGACCCAATACATTTTCATACCAAAAGGTATTTCCTGCTGTGTTTCTATGAAGGCAGACCAAGATGTAACAAATAGCAGATTATTAAAGGTAAGTGCTCTTTATGATGAATACGAGGCATACTTTGTCCCAGTTCTGACAAGGCTGCTAGAGGGTAACTAGAATCCAAAATCATTCCCCGGGGTTCAGAGTCGGGGTGGGAGAGCAACATCTATCCAACAAAAAAAAGGGCTGATTCTAGCCAGGTATGTGACTTGTGATTTTGAGGCCAGCCTGGCTACATAGGGGGTTCCAGATGAGGCTGAGCTAGAATAGTACACTTTTTCACCATGAATGCATGCACACAGGCACACACACACACACACACACACACACACACACACACACACACACACACACACACACACACACACACACACTGGGCTGGGGAGTCAGCTCAGTGGGGCAACACTTGTCTAACATAGCTAAGACCAAGACCCTGATCAACAAGAAAAACCAATAAAATTGTATAGGTTTGTTACACCCCAACCTCTGCATTATGTGACCTCATGGAATTTATACAGGAGAAAACTGAAGCTCTCAGACGGGAAAGCCAGTGACAACTGTGATCTGAGAGCTGTCCCACCCCAGAGTCTGTGTACACCACTCCCTGAATTAATAATGTCAAGTAGGGAACACACTAGGACCCTAGTATTTGGGGGGCAAGGGTTGGAAGGTTGCGTGTTCCAGGCCAACAGGGGATAATGTAGTGAGAAGATACCTTATCCCTCGTCCCCACCAAACCAGGGACTCCTGGTCTAAGCACATTTCTTGATGCATTGTGGGGAAACACCTGAGTGAAGGAGTGAGCAATGGGAGTTTGTCCGAGCTACTGTCAGGAATGAAACGGTTCAGACCGAAGGTCCGGCACAAGGCAAGCAATGCCTTGCCTCACCTCACATGGAAAATGGAGTCAATGGCACACTTCCTGGGCACACAAGGCAGGTGGGAGGAGGAATCTGACTCATGGTTCAAACCCGAGCTTCCTGCCCTAAGTGCTTGTATGGGAGGAGTCTGTGGCCCGCGTTCTCCCTGGGGCTATCAACCTGTATGCTGACTGATGCTATTCAAGTTCACCCCACTTTAAGCTAACTTCATCCTTCAGTCAAAGACACAGGTTCCCTGTTTGGAACTCCTGCTATCATTGTTCCAGACTTTCAAAGTCATCCCTGACTGTTCTGAGACCTCGCAGACCTATTGGCTCTACCTGGAAGCATTTCCTGATTCAGCTAGCACACCATCCCACCAGCCAGGGCCTCTGCAGCTAGCTCGCAACCACATGGGAGTCACAACTTCCCTAGTGGGTCCCCACATCTTCCTAACACAGCTGTGTAATACATGGACTCCCCGGCATTCTCCTGCCCATTGCTTTCTCAATTGACCCCTCTCCTCTAGATGTGCTTCCCCCACAGGGCAGTCCTGACACTTTGGGGTTCCACTTTTATCCTGATATAGACAGTGCTTCAGTACTCAACACGGATCCTCCCTCCTCTCTGCTCTGGCCTTGCCCTTCTCTATCCTGGCACGTGCTGGCTGTGTGACTCATCTGGCACTCCATCACATAGCACTATGACATCTCTTAATCTCTAATAACTAGGACCATTTAATGAGCATCAGAGCTACCCCGTGCCAAGCGGGTGCCTGATATACACTCTTATTCCGGCTTTCTGCACAAAAAGCACGGGGAACCGTACTGCAGAAGCAGCAGGCTGGGACCTCACCCAGGATATTAAGGAGCAACGTCAACATTGTCTTCCTGCAGTGCAGTTTTACTTATGGAATTGGGAAAGGGCCACTGGGGTTGTTACTTCCCTGTTAGCTACAGGATGTGTTTTGTGACCAGATTTCTATGACTGGCCAGGACCCAAACAGAAAGAATGTCTCCAGTCTGTGGCAGGCCTGCACTGTCCTCATCCATCCTCAGTGCCACTGACTTAAGTTTGTCCCATCAAAAGGAAGAGTATTCTTGTAGACTCCTTGGGACACCACACTTCAATACTTCCCCTGTGAAGCAATTCTGGTTCTCGGTCTCCTCCATCACCACTCAGGCCATATCCTGGTGCATCAGGAAAGGAGCCAGAGAGCCACACACTTGGCACAGCCACCTTGGGCAAACATCTGGGAGCATAGTCCACCCAGCCCTAGCCCTCCCTAAAATGGCCAAGCCACCTCCTTCCTGACTCTCTCTATCCCCACAGCGGCATGTATCCTGAAAGTAGGAAATGCATCCAGTCATGACACTCTGCTGCTCTGGTACACAGGCCCCCATTCTCCCAGCCTCCTGTGCTCTTTGTGCAGGGTGACCCAGAGCCTGCAGCTGGAACTCTGGAGCAAAGGCTAGGCCTGGAACAAGCAAATACCCTACAATTGGCCCCTGGAGTAGGTCAACATCAAGTGTCTGGGCCACAGAGTGTGGTGGAGGGTGGCCTGTCCTGAAGATCCATCTAGGCTTCAATGTCAGTATCTCAAAAATGGAAGTGTGTCTGTCATATTCCTCCCAGAGCTGTTATGAAGACTAATCGACAGTACGTGTAGGTCAGGCCTGGGCATTGGCTGGCAGAGTCACCCAAACTGGAAAATGAGTTGCATTATGAACTAGTCTAAGCCTCACTTGGTCTATATGGAGAGTCCATTGCCAGCCTTGGGCACAATAAGGATCCCAAGGGCTATGAGTGATGTCTTGTGACATGATCCTTCAAAGGGAGAAGGGAGCAGAGGCAAATAGCACCAAGGAAGCAGTCTATAGTCATGCCATTGCCTGGGGGACATTATTCCGACAAAGGAATTTTTCTTTCCAGGATACAATCCCTACAAAGGAATTTTTCTTTCCAGGATACAATAAAACAAAGGCAAAGGGGTGGGAGGAAAAAAGTGCCTAAAACTTGTTCAATGTGTGTCTGTGCACGTGCATGTGTGAACCCAAGGACACACTTTCAAAGCCAAAACTTCATACACCATAAAACCTCACAGCCAGGGGCCATAAAGAAGCCTCAGGCCCTAACCAAACACTAGGAGCCTCATTCCAGCTCATCAAGAACTCAGAAGCATGACTGCAAGAATCTCTCCTGTGTCCACCCCAATATCCAAACATGGTGATCAAGAATTCTGTAACGACTGGCTGTTTTGCCCAACACAGCAGCCCTCCAGGTATGTCTCCTGAGAGAGGGAGGAGATACTAAACAGGGTGGACAGAGGATGGGATGTCAATCTGAGGTCACTGACCCAGAGACATGGCACACACCAAACCTGCTTTCTGAAGGAGGGGCCTTAGCTGTCAGGCACCTCCAAAGGTTTCTCCGACTTACAGATGCCCCTGTTCACTCTACGTTCCCGCCTCACACCATATTTCTGCACTCTCTGCTACCTGCCAGAAGCAGCCAGCAAGAAGCGAAACAGGGTGTCAATTGGCCAGCAAGACCGAGACCTATCAAGGGCCCCTTGAGCCCACACCAGGCCCATCACCAGAGCTGGATGGGAGCGTCACTCTTGACCCCTCTTCAGGCAGTCAAGTCACACATAATGCCAAGAGGAACTCATTCCTCCTGGGCAGGCCCAGAAGGGGAAACTTCTGGGCTCTTCTAGGACTGGCCAAACAGGAAAGTGTGGGGCACCTGGCAGTCACCCACAGCCTTTACTTTGCATTGTTTGGGCTTCTCCATCCAGGAGATGACAGGGGCCAGCTGCATTTAGTCAAAGCCCAAGAATGAAAAAGTATAATGGCCCAAGTCCGTGGTCCTGCGTCCTCATACCAGGTTTGGCGGTAGCACAGGACCGACCCCTGAGCAGCGGTTGGCACTGACAGGGAGGCCAACGTTTATTGAGCACCTTATGGGCTGTGTAATTGACCTCACATGCTGATCAACTCATCTAACTTTGACATTTTGGGGGAGTCAGAATATTCCATAACTTAGGGCAATCCTCCTGTCTCAATTTCTCCAAAAGTGGAGCTCTAGGAGACCAACTTTAACACCATTCTCCAGAAGGAGAGATTGGTTTTATATTTATCATTTGGTACTAACTTTACCATATCAAAAGGAAACCTGAGACACAGAAAAATTGCTCAGAGAATCACTGCACCTTCAGAGACAACTCAACTCCATGCATCCCATGTCCTCTGCAGGCCGGGGAAGTTCTTGTGCTTTAAAAGAATGAGCCAGACTCACTAAGGGTAATAGCTGCTTCACCTCAGCTTCCTTTAAGCGTCAGGAAAACTGAAGGGGGAGGTAGGGACATGATCAGAAGATACTACATGGTGATTGTGGTACATGCCTGAAATCCCAACACGGCAAAAGCTGAGGCAGGAGGATTGCCATGTTTGAGGTTGACCTGGGCTATAGCCTTGCTTGAAAAGGTGTGTGTTGGGGGAGGGATTGGGGGGGGGCAACTAACTGACTGGCCTGGGTCTTACATTGGAGAGTTGCTTTAGTTTTAGACCTTATGTGAATGATACTAATTTTTTAGTGGACATTTATTTTATCTCTATAAATTCACAATGCCCTTGTAGTTTGTATTTATGGTATTTTAAAGTAACTTTTAGTCAGGTGTGTTAGGGAAAGTCTATAATCCCAGCCCTTGGGAGGCTGAGGTCTGGGGACAACTGATTCAAGAATATTTTGATCTACATGAGACCCCCAAAAACCCCAAAGCATAGTAGCATAGTGACTACCTAGTGTGACAAGGTTCTGAGTTCAATCCTTAGGTTGCAAATGAGTTTTGTAGTTGACCTGCAACTGTATGCTGCCTTGTTTAGTTAGGGGAGTTTAAAAAGCTGAATTTGTGATCATAAGCATATTGCAATCATTATTGAAAACAGGTGGTACTCCAAATCAGATTCCCCAAATGCTATTTCCTTCATGAATTTATTCCGAGTCTGGCTTGTATGTAGCAGCTACAGTTATGGTAGCCTGGAAGAGGCTGGAGTAGAGGAGAGAGGTAACTTGTGTAGCATCCAAAACTATTACAAAGCCTTCCCTTCTTGCCATCCATTTACAAGCTTACAAAACAGAAAAGGTCATTATCAGCTGGCATAGGATAAGACAGTCTCTCAATCCCAAACAATGGCCACTAAGGAGAGGCTCAGGTTTTACAGAAATGCCTAACAGAGGGCAAGTTACACTTTGCAAGTTAGGAAAGGGGGCAGGGGATGACAGACATGCCTGCTAGCACAAAACTCTCCTGGAAGACCCTCAAAAGTAGGCAAGCACAGGTTTAAGAAAATGACCACAGCACCTACGGCAGGCATCTGATCCCATGGAATTTGAACTCCCAAAACAGACACTCCCATCTTCTGGCCAGAACATGCTGGGTCTCCCCAATCTTGTGCATATATTCTTCCTTCCAAGTTACTAACTCCTACCTGCCTAGCACTCTGCCTTAAACAGAAATCCAATCCTGGGTTCTGCTCAACACATCCGAGGGACAGAAGCCTTTGGCTGAATAACCCTTGAGGCTACTCATCCTCCAGCAGTCAGAAGCCTATAATCTGCCAAAAAGACTCAGATGTCACCAGGGGGGCAACTGCATGACAGGGACCTGAAGGGAGTCACACAGGTAGTGACCCAAAGAGTGAGCCCAGCCGTGTAGATCCCACCCTAAGCCACTCAGACACAGCTATCACAAAAGCTCCAGGTGAGGCATGTCCACTCCCCTCCACCCCCCACTAATGTCACAAGATTCGTCCTGACAGCAAAGATCGGAAAGTTTCGGAAAGATATGCTCTATTTCCTCCGCTGCAGCCCCGAGCCAATGAAGCAGTGGAGTCTCTCGTGCTCAGCATGGAGGGGCGTCTACAAGAATGAGGTCACTTAAAAAAAATAAAAATAAGAAAAAAAAAGGAAAAACTCAGTGGAGGTCCTTGGGGGCAGAAGCAGCCGGCATCGCGGTAGCAGTGGCGGTGTACTCACCAGCGCTCCCTTCGCAGGTAAGGGACTGCAGGAGGCACCCAGGTGGAGCGCAGCTGAGCGCCCGGTATATATACAGTGAAGGTGTTGCGCAAAGAGGCCGGCGGCAGTCGCTGTCATCACGCCCCTCGCACATTCCAGGACCGCCTGCCGCCGCCACGGCACTGCCTACCTGCCGGCTTAATGAGCCCATCGCGACCTCGAGGGCTGCGGGAAGAAACCTCAGACCAGGCCGGCAGTACGAACGGCCGAACGGCCTGAGCCCCAGTGGTGCCCCGCGCGCCCCGAATCCCCTGTTGCCCTCCCACGCGGGGTTCCTGCGAACTCAGTCAGCTGTGCCCCCTGCCCTCTGACTCCTCCCCGGGAACCTGCGCCTTTCGGTCTCCAGGGCTGGAGAGAGGTTAGACACTGAGCCACTGGAAATTCAGGGACAGATTCTTCGCAACAAAGCCAGGATTGTTCGAAGTGTCTCTGCCCTGAGACCTGTCTGGACTGGGCAGTTAGAACAAGGCCAGAGAAGATCTCAAGACTGTTTGGAAAAGGTCTTATGTGGCAGGCCTAGAAAAGGGCTGCTGTCTCCGCTGTGACAGCCCAGGATTTGTCATGGCTCTTTTCGGTCCGTTTCCTCCATCTCCTCCCCCTATCACACGGCTGGGAGATCTGCCCTGGGAAGCCCCCGGGCTAGTACTGAACACTGTGGACAGACATCACCTCTGATCAGAGCATAAAAGCTTTGCCTGGGGCCGACGAGCCAAGACATGGATGATGGCAGTCTCACTCTAGATCTGCTAAAACAGAGAGCTAGCCTACTCCAGGTTTTTCAGAGCCCGTAACTACTAGTATTTGAAGTGCTACACCGGGACAAACTCTCAGGAGCTCAGCTGCCTGTCTTGAATTCCCCACTCTGTCCACTCCCCAGTTTGCTCCTGTGTAAAATGGGAATACAGCCGGTGGTGGCACACAACACTCATTGTGCTAACCGCCGTTGCTTTCAAAGGGACCTTTCCGTGTTGGAATAGGAAGGTATTAGACTGATCCCAGTGCCTGCCTCCAGCAGCACAAAGGACAGGGCTCCTGAGACAGGAAAAAGGCTAATCCCCCTAGTGGCCCTCCTGAGGGATGATGCTTGTTCTAGAGGGTTGACTTAAGACACTCCTAGGGAGCGGCTAGGCTCAGCAAGCACCTCTCCAGGCGGCTTGTGGCTTGTAGAGTCCAGTCCATAGTAACAGGATTCCGCCCCCCCCCCCACGGGCTCATGAAGCTAGTCCTCGCTGGTAGCCAGCGGTGGGCAAGGCAGGCTACCTGGTCACCCATCCTGCCAACCTGCCTCCCAGTGGCTAAAAGCTTTCCTGAAGCAGGGGCCTGACTGCCTTCCCTTGCTTTAAAATCACTCCCCAAATGCAACTGAAGTGTGAAGAGCAACTCTGCAAAAACCTTGGAACTCTTATGTTCCAATAGACAAGGGAAGTCATCCAAGAGGTTTTTTTTTTTTTTAAACAAAATATGGGTGTCTCACAGGGCGGCCCTGCTTGCTTGGCTGCAGTTCCTTTCGTTACTTCTCTGCAGTGTCTCTGGTCTCCCTTTATCAGAATGTGGCTTGTAGAAGAACACTTACCTATTTTCATTTGATCTCAAATACCGAATATCTTCCTTTAGTGATATAAAGCCCAAGTCTACATACAAACTTCTAAAATACCATCTATCACCAATGTGGATTGCACCAGCCCACCTTGACTAACTTAGTGCTGCACTATTAGGTGGAATTTGGTAATTCATGTCATTAGTGTGAAACTGAAGTTTCACTATCTTCCCCATGCTTCATAAAGTTCTGTGTAACTGGTACAAGTCTGAAACCTGAGCCTCTGGGGCTGATGTTTAGGAAGAGACTGTTTAATGGGATGAAAACACTTGCAGTTGTTTTTTGGATTTTGTGGTTTGTTTTTATTTTACTGTAAATATGTATATATTGATACTGAATGGAACACATTCATTTCTCATATAAACTCATATATAAGACTGCACTAGGAAGTGGCCGAGTTAAGACGTAACCAGTTCATACCAAGAAGTTTTCTCTATTCTTTAATATGCTTTCCCTTCATAGAACCCAAAAGTACCTATATGTGAGAGTTAAGTGGGATGGCTCCCATCTGTAATCTCAGACCTTATAAAGGCAGAAGGATCAGAATTCAAGGCCAGCCTAAACTACATGTGACCACGCCTCAAACACCATAAATGTACAAATGGGAGCTTGATTCCCAGCAATATCGCTACTGTGTAATCTTTCAGTAAATGGGTAGCCAGGAAATGAGAACAAATAATGAATCTAAAGGGGCAAGGTAAAAGCCTAGAGACGTTACAGGCAAATAATCCGGGCATTAAAAGAACACACCTTTAAAACGGTGGAGAAGCCAGAAGTAGTGGGCACACCTGTAATTCCAATGCTGGGAGATAGAGGCAGGAGAATCAGAATCAGGAGCTCAAGGTGATAGTGTTGTATAGAAGGACAAGTCTAGGCGACATGAGACACCGGGCAAACAAGGCAGGAGCATGCCTTTAATCCCAGCACTGAGAAGGTTAGTGATCTGAGTTGAGGCCAGTCTAGTTCTACACAGTGAGTTCCAGGACAGCCAGGGCTATGTAGAGAGTTGCTGTCTAGATAGATAGATAGATAGATAGATAGATAGATAGATAGATAGATAGATAGATAGATAGATAGAACAAAGATGAGGACTGGAGAGATGTCTTAGCACTTACTGCTCTTACAGGACCTGGGTTCAGTTCCCAGCTCCCATATGGAGACTCGCAACCTCCTGTAACTCTAGTTCCAGGGATCTAATGTTCTTGTCTTGAACTCCTGGACACATATGCACATGCATATGCATAAAATTAGACAGAACACATGGGTAAGTCAGAGTGGAGAGTAACAGTCATTGGTAGTCATGGTCATAAATCAAAGGAAATGTGTGTGCATGTGATCAACAGAGCAAGACCAGAAGGCAGCTCTGAATGGCTCATACTCATTCCCAGGAAGGAATTAACTGAGTCAGGCAGGGCTGGCTCACACCTTTACTCCCTGTACTCAGAGGCAGATGCAGGCATATCTCTGTGAGTTCGAGGTCAGCTTGGTCTACAAATTAAGTTTCAGGACAGTCTCCAAAGACAGAGAAACTGTCTCACAACCGCCCCCCCAAAAAAAAATTAACTAAGGAAACACTCAAATGATTAACTTTTGTTGCTATCAAAGTAACCCCATGATGCACAGCAATGAAAACGAACAACTTATTCTAAAGAAAGTGTGCACCTTACCAGCGCAGGGTTAAGTCAGAGTCAGAAGAGATCCCTGTTGCTCGCATTAATTTAAAATCCCCAAACCAGCCCCAACTGAATTTTAGCAGCAGGAATGCATACTTAAGTGGTGTAACTACAGGAGTTCAGGAGCAAGGGCATGCCAGAAGTCGACTGCCCAGACACAAGGCCCTCACCAACCTTAGGAATGGTCATTTTCCTCGTGGTCAATCCAGGAGTTTTACTAATTAGTTCCTTTTTTTCTTTCTTGTACCAATTCTGTATATTTGGATTTGGTTGAGACAGGGTTAGAGGTGTGGACCACCACACACTGACTTACAGTTTACAATACAGACCATAATAACTGAATGGCGCGGTGGGGTCTGGTCCAAGAGCAATGAATCTCTCTACAGAGCTCCAAGACTGTAGAGGTTTGGTCTGATTGCTGGCTATCACATAAACTGTGCTGTACTCTGTATAGGGCACTGTTACGTTTTCTACACACTGACTCATTTCTTCCTGCCAGATAAGTTTATCATTTCCACTTTATTGATGATCAAATTGAGATAGAGAGATCGTATTGCCCAAAGTTAACCATGATTGCTAGAATCTAGACCAGGTAGTCTGGCTCCAGCGTTTGCACAGTCATCTAAAAAGCTGTGCTTTCTGTGGCAATTTAATTTCAAATAAACTTCTCATAAGCTAAACCTTAGTGTCACACATATGTTTATCCCACCATGCAATGAAATAAAGAAAGTAGACAGGGAAGAACACCTGTAACTAGGGAGGCTGAGACAGGAGATCCCATGAGGCCCCCGCAGTATAATAAGGTTACCCTGAGCAGTACAGTGAGATCCCATCTCATGACAAACTAGAGACATTTTCCTGCTGGGAACAAGCAAATTGAACAGCCTCCTGAAGCCCTATCATCATTTTCCTAATCCTAAAGCCACCCCGTAATTCCTTAAGTATCACAGTGGTTATTCTGCCTTGGCTATGCTTTTCATTAGTCTATGTGTGGTTTTAGGGGCGAATCTCTTCCTTTGGATTGGACTTGCATGATTTATTTGTATTACAATATCAACAAATGTTGGAGAGAGCTTAAATGGATGTGTAACTCAACTTCTCACACTTTGGAGGCTGAGGTAAGAGCACAAGTTCCAGGACAGCCTGGGCTTCATAGAGAGGCATTGTCTAAAAAAAAATTGCATTATTCACATATATAGGAATCGGGTATAATCTAAAAAAAAAAGTGTAAAACCCTAGCTGGCCTTGAACTCCAAGTCCTTCAACCTCAGCCTCCTAAATTCTAGGGCTATAGACATGAGTCACTCCACCCTGCACATTGAGATAGACTAAATTATAATCTCCATTATATGCTAATCAGGGTTCTGTCCTCATGAATGAATTATAATCTATCCATGCAATTGGTAGGCTAATGGTTAATGGGTTATCTGGAAAGTGGGTCTGTCATAAAAGCTAGTTTGGCTGGGTCTCTAGGTCTTCCAGCACCACTTTTGGGCTTTGCCAAGAAGGCCATCAGATGAACTCTGAACCAGAACTCTGAACCAGAATGAAATTTTTCTTTGTGACTAACCCAGCGCAGGGCATCACACTGTGAGCAGGAGACAACGTATTTTCTGTGTCATAATTCCATGATGACATCATCCTATCAAGTCAGTCGTGGACCAGGAGCAGCTCTGAAGAAGCAGACAGACAGCTCCAGCCTTTACATGGATAGATTGGATGATTGGTGCTGACCTGAGCAGATAGCAGGAGATCCATATTCTTATCGCTATGAAAATCTACATCCAAAAAACGCCAGTTTTGAAGCCAGAAAGAAGTTTAAAATTATGATATGCTTATC